CACTGGTGTGATGCGGCGCAGTCTACCTTCAGGCCAGAAGGATATACTGTGCCGCTGCACCTGGGTGTGAGACGGCGCAGTCTACCTTCAGGCCAGAAGGATATACTGTGCCGCTGCACCTGGGTGTGAGACGGCGCAGTCTACCTTCCGGCCAGAAGGATATACTGTGCCGCTGCACCTGGGTGTGAGACGGCGCAGTCTACCATTGAGGCCAGAAGGATATACTGTGCCGCTGCACCTGGGTGTGAGACGCGCAGTCTACCTTCAGGCCAGAAGGATATACTGTGCCGCTGCACCTGGGTGTGAGACGGCGCAGTCTACCTTCCGGCCAGAAGGATATACTGTGCCGCTGTACCTGGTGTGAGACGGCGCAGTCTACCTTCCGGCCAGAAGGATATACTGTGCCGCTGCACCTGGGTGTGAGACGGCGCAGTCTACCTTCAGGTCAGAAGGATATACTGTGCCGCTGCACCTGGGTGTGAGACGGCGCAGTCTACCTTCAGGCCAGAGTGATATACTGTGCCGCTGCACCTGGGTGTGAGGCGGCGCACTCTACCGTTGAGGCCAGAAGGATATACTGTGCCGCTGCACCTGGGTGTGAGACGGCGCAGTCTACCTTCCGGCCAGAAGGATATACTGTGCCGCTGCACCTGGGTGTGAGACGGCGCAGTCTACCTTCAGGCCAGAAGGATATACTGTGCCGCTGCACCTGGGTGTGAGGCGGCGCAGTCTACCTTCAGGCCAGAAGGATATACTGTGCCGCTGCACCTGGGTGTGAGGCGGCGCAGTCTACCTTCATGCCAGAGTGATATACTGTGCCGCTGCACCTGGGTGTGGGACGGCGCAGTCTACCGTTGAGGCCAGAGGATATACTGTGCCGCTGCACCTGGGTGTGAGACGGCGCAGTCTACCGTTGAGGCCAGAAGGATATACTGTGCCGCTGCACCTGGGTGTGAGACGGCGCAGTCTACCTTCAGGCCAGAAGGATATACTGTGCCGCTGCACGTGGGTGTGAGACGGCGCAGTCTACCGTTGATGCCAGGGGGATATACTGTGCCGCTGCACCTGGGTGTGAGACGGCGCAGTCTACCTTCCGGCCAGAAGGATATACTGTGCCGCTGCACCTGGGTGTGAGACGGCGCAGTCTACCGTTGAGGCCAGAGGGATATACTGTGCCGCTGCACCTGGGTGTGAGACGGCGCAGTCTACCGTTGAGGCCAGAAGGATATACTGTGCCGCTGCACCTGGGTGTGAGACGGCGCAGTCTACCTTCAGGCCAGAAGGATATACTGTGCCGCTGCACGTGGGTGTGAGACGGCGCAGTCTACCGTTGAGGCCAGAGGGATATACTGTGCCGCTGCACCTGGGTGTGAGACGGCGCAGTCTACCGTTGAGGCCAGAAGGATATACTGTGCCGCTGCACCTGGGTGTGAGACGGCGCAGTCTACCTTCAGGCCAGAAGGATATACTGTGCCGCTGCACGTGGGTGTGAGACGGCGCAGTCTACCGTTGATGCCAGAAGGATATACTGTGCCGCTGCACCTGGGTGTGAGGCGGCGCAGTCTACCGTTGAGGCCAGAAGGATATACTGTGCCGCTGCACCTGGGTGTGAGACGGCGCAGTCTACCTTCAGGCCAGAAGGATATACTGTGCCGCTGCACGTGGGTGTGAGACGGCGCAGTCTACCGTTGAGGCCAGAAGGATATACTGTGCCGCTGCACCTGGGTGTGAGACGGCGCAGTCTACCTTCAGGCCAGAAGGATATACTGTGCCGCTGCACCTGGGTGTGAGGCGGCGCAGTCTACCGTTGAGGCCAGAAGGATATACTGTGCCGCTGCACCTGGGTGTGAGACGGCGCAGTCTACCTTCAGGCCAGAAGGATATACTGTGCCGCTGCACGTGGGTGTGAGACGGCGCAGTCTACCGTTGAGGCCAGAAGGATATACTGTGCCGCTGCACCTGGGTGTGAGACGGCGCAGTCTACCGTTGAGGCCAGAAGGATATACTGTGCCGCTGCACGTGGGTGTGAGACGGCGCAGTCTACCGTTGAGGCCAGAAGGATATACTGTGCCGCTGCACCTGGGTGTGAGACGGCGCAGTCTACCTTCAGGCCAGAAGGATATACTGTGCCGCTGCACGTGGGTGTGAGACGGCGCAGTCTACCGTTGAGGCCAGAAGGATATACTGTGCCGCTGCACCTGGGTGTGAGACGGCGCAGTCTACCGTTGAGGCCAGAAGGATATACTGTGCCGCTGCACGTGGGTGTGAGACGGCGCAGTCTACCGTTGAGGCCAAAGGATATACTGTGCCGCTGCACCTGGGTGTGAGACGGCGCAGTCTACCTTCAGGCCAGAAGGATATACTGTGCCGCTGCACGTGGGTGTGAGACGGCGCAGTCTACCGTTGATGCCAGAAGGATATACTGTGCCGCTGCACCTGGGTGTGAGGCGGCGCAGTCTACCGTTGAGGCCAGAAGGATATACTGTGCCGCTGCACCTGGGTGTGAGACGGCGCAGTCTACCTTCAGGCCAGAATATACTGTGCCGCTGCACGTGGGTGTGAGACGGCGCAGTCTACCGTTGAGGCCAGAAGGATATACTGTGCCGCTGCACCTGGGTGTGAGACGGCGCAGTCTACCTTCAGGCCAGAAGGATATACTGTGCCGCTGCACCTGGGTGTGATGCGGCGCAGTCTACCTTCAGGCCAGAAGGATATACTGTGCCGCTGCACCTGGGTGTGAGGCGGCGCAGTCTACCGTTGAGGCCAGAAGGATATACTGTGCCGCTGCACGTGGGTGTGAGACGGCGCAGTCTACCTTCAGGCCAGAAGGATATACTGTGCCGCTGCACGTGGGTGTGAGACGGCGCAGTCTACCGTTGAGGCCAGAAGGATATACTGTGCCGCTGCACCTGGGTGTGAGACGGCGCAGTCTACCGTTGAGGCCAGAAGGATATACTGTGCCGCTGCACGTGGGTGTGAGACGGCGCAGTCTACCGTTGATGCCAGGGGGATATACTGTGCCGCTGCACCTGGTGTGAGACGGCGCAGTCAACCGTTCCAGTCAAACGCTGGGCCGTCGGGGGCGAACATCACTTTGTAGTCGACTTTACTCAAGCAACTAAGACAGGCACGATAAATCAGTTCAGAAGGTCAATTGGAAACAATTTAGATAGGCATGACAGGTCACTTTGGAAGGCTATTTAGAAAAATTACATATGTACAGGCAGCCTGCCTCCTTCCACAGAATTGCCACCTGTTCTCAGCTGGCAAGCAGCCGATAAATTTTGCGAAACAGTGCAACTAGCCAGGCCCCAATCGGAGTGGAGTGGTAATACAGCATTATTTTAAAGTCACCCACAGAAACAGCTAGCCCGGTCCGACGGTCGGTGGCAGCAGCGCTGTCCGGTGGCACTCACCTGCACTCTCCTCCAGCACGTTAGGCGAGATGTCCTCGAAGGCAGCCGCTCCGAGCGGCAGGTACGCTTTCGGCTCCAGCATACTCAGGTACTCGGCGACAAGCGCAGCGCTATGCACGTAGCACATACCGGCCTCGGCCAACTGGCCGCGCTGAAACACGCCGCACAAAGGTCACAACAGCACCGCACGGCGCCCAATCAGAACGCCGCGCTATCTTATACGGGAGTCTGGGGCGAGGCGCCCCAGAAAGTTGACCATGTGTGACAGCTCTCAAACCTCCGGGTACCAGCCCTCCCCTCCCACCTCCGTGTGACAGCCCTCCCCATCCCACCTCCGTGTGACAGCCCTCCCCCTCCCACCTCCGTGTAGCAGCCCTCCCCTCCCACCTCCGTGTAGCAGCCCTCCCCTCCCACCTCCGTGTAGCAGCCCTCCCCCTCCCACCTCCGTGTAACAGCCCTCCCCTCCCCCTCCGTGTAACAGCCCTCCCCCTCCCACCTCCGTGTGACAGCCCTCCCCTCCCACCTCCGTGTAACAGCCCTCCACTCCCACCTCCGTGTAACAGCCCTTCCCCTCCCACCTCCGTGTAACAGCCCTCCCCTCCCACCTCTGGGTGACAGCCCTTCCCCTCCCACCTCCGTGTGACAGCCCTTCCCCTCCCACCTCTGTGTAACAGCCCTCCCCCTTCCACCTCCGTGTGACAGCCCTCCCCCTCCCACCTCCGTGTAACAGCCCTCCCCCTCCCACCTCCGTGTAACAGCCCTCCCCCTCCCACCTCTGTGTAACAGCCCTCCCCCTCCCACCTCCGTGTAACAGCACTCCCCCTTCCACCTCTGGGTGACAGCTGTGTAGAAGGAAATCATGCCTCCCACTCCCATGATGGAGGCCCCAAATGTCTGACCCCATTTTTGTCTCTGTCTGGGTGTCTGGGGCGCATAGCGACACGGGACCGCCGGCTCGCTGGCCGGCTGCCCGTCCGGTCACGTGCTTGCGTCCCGACACCCACCATAAAACCATGTCTTTCGTAAATACACTCTCTCACTTCTCCTCTACTGACTGTACCGCCAACACTACCAGCGGACCACGGCTCCGACGAGGGCGGCCAAAATGGCCGGCCCACAATTGGTGCCAGCGGTGGTGGTTGGTTGTCCGTGAAGGACTTTTGGCTTCAGGTGAGTTCTCTTTTAAATTAATTCTATTTGCTATTTGTTTGATATTATATGTTTGAGATTTGAGATTTGATATTTAGTTCCATTCGTTTTTCTCCGTGCTTTTTTCATTATTTAACATACTAACCATGGAAGATGCTACCAGGAATTTTAGTATTGAGTACAATGCCCAGATGAACGATATTTTAAGGCGAATTGCCCATTTAGAATTAGCTGTAGCAGAGGAGCTTATTGCTCAACAAAATCAAAATCAATCAAAATCTCAGAGACGAGGACGTGATCGTCAATCTCGTCAGCAAAAATACAGTTATCGACCTGTTCGCTCAAAATCACTTCACTCTTCGCATCATTGTTGTCAAGAAAGGAGTCATTGTTGTTCAAATTCTTATCACCATGAATTTTCGAGCTGTCACCGGAACATTTCACCCGTCGGAACTTTCGTTCTCAGAGCCCAAACGGGTTCCGCTCACTGCACTTGGAGGTGAGTGCGTGAGCGTTGCTTCAGATGACAGGGACCGTTCAGCACATCACCTGGTTTTACGTGACGTCAAAATTTCGGGTCAAACTTGTTCAGCTCTTTATGATAGTGGGAGTAGTGTCTCTTTAGTTTCAGAAAAATGTCTGCAAAAATATGGTTTAAAAGTAGCTTACGAACCTCCCAGTGTCTTTATTCTTGATATTACTGGAAATCCTATTGACGTTGTAGGTGAAGTCAATCTGAACATTAGCATTTCATGGTCATGGTAGCATTCATGGTTCAACACAAATTGTTCATTTCAGCAAAAAGTTTGCCATTCAAATGCGATATCATTCTCGGAATCGATTTTATCATTGCTCACAAATTGCTTTACAATCCATCGAGTCGTTCAGTGAACTTTCTAAAACTAATATTTCTCCCAATGATAGTCGAAAGACGCTCAAAACGTCTGAGTCCCAAAAGAGTAAAAGAGTACGTTTTCTTTTATCAACAAAGGACAATGAAAAATGTGTCGATCAATCGTTATCCTGGATAAAACGGTAGACATGTTCACAACTGCAGAAAAACATGCATTAACCCGGCAGTTGCTGGGGTATTTCGCCACCCACCGTTTGCTGGGGGGGGGGGGGGCGTTAAACGCCCCCAGCCGATAACTCGAGAACCAATAGGCGCAGCGAAACACGAGGCGGCAAACGAAAGAACGCGACGAGACGCTTCAAATGAGTACTTTAAAGTTGAATTTTGAGGTCACAGGTCGGGTCAAGGTCAGGTCAAACACCTGAAATCGGGCTTTCAGTAGCATTGACTTCAGGACTTCGCAATGGGCGCCTCTCGTCATAAACTCTGTCAAAACGGTGCACAATCCATCATATAAGGCCTACAAGAGTGTCAGCTCCATGTAGGGGTGTCAGTCAAGCAGAGGTCAGGGTCAAGGCCAGGTCAACCGGGTAGGCACATATCCCCAAAAATCAAAACTGATATTCGCAGCCTGTGACACATGTTTTATGGGTAATTTGGGGCGTAGAACACGATGGTGACATTCATTTTATCATATGTGTACGTGTTTGGCTCAAAAAGTTTAATTTAAGAAATTCATGTATAATGGTCGTGAAGTGGTCACGAGAAATTGCCAAGATTCAGTTCAAGATTTTGGAAAATGCGGAACGATAATCAATAATCGAAGATAGCCATTTGATTGTTCATGGTTGGCAGTCTAATGGCGTTTACGGCATGTCTGTATGTCTATTCTGTGATTTATATGATTTTTTGAACATATGCCGTTTTTGGTCGAAAACTCAGAAATCTGATGGTCATTAAAACCTCGATATCTCAAAAATTTTCCGACCGATTTTTTAAAACTTTGTCACAATAAACTTCAATTACTTCCCTACAGGGACCCCAAAATTTGCGCGCCATTTTATGCTATGGCCCGGCGAAAAAGCCAAAGGGGGGGCCTTTAACGCCCCCCCCCCAGCAACTCGCGGGTTAACTGTTGATGACAAAAAATCATATCCATTGTTCGTGAAACAAACAGTAGAAATTTCTGGTTACAGCAAAAACCTTGTACGCGTTAAATTACCACGTTTTCTACAACCAAATGATGTTCCATACCTAATTCAACGCATTGTGATCGAAGCGAGACATTCAGGTTGCCCGTTCTATCAATTTCTTAGAAAATTCAGGCACGCTAGTGTACGCGTGATTAATGCTTCAAGTAACCCAATCATTTTGAGAAAAAATCAGAGAATCCCACAAGCCCATCCGACCAAAAAGTACCCCTTCAGTCAGGTCACAGACCGACCCCATCCCATCAGACAGGACGCTGACCTTGCTCAGTACCATGGGTCAGTCAGTACCAACTGTCAAACAGCGCCGTCTGTTCCAAATTCCGCCAGCGTCTCGCCAGCACAAAAAAAAAACGGTCGCTGGGCCGGACTTAGCTGCGTCAGACAACGGACGCATGACAGACACAAACAAACCGACGACCTCTATTCCGAGGACGTCAGGGCACAGGTCTGTCAGTGACATTGATTTGAAACACAACCCAGTACATTTCGTTTTAAACTTCGTGAACTCTTAGACAAACATAGACATGTCTCGGAAACGATATTTCTGACATGCAACAGACAGATGTTTACAAAAATCACAATGGATTCACAGACCACACTCCGGCTGATCAAGTATCAACGAACAAGTCTCCCATTTGCTCATCGGGAGATAACTAAGGAAGATATAAAACGCATGGTAACATCCAAAGTTATCAAACCATTAGTTTCACCATATAACTCTCCAATCATTCTTATAAAGAAATCAAATGGTCAATATCGCCTCGTATCAGATTTGCGACTTCTCAACTCCAACATCAAGGATGACAAGTTTTCTCGTTCATTTCACAGGTCAAAGATCAACTTTCTGATTGTGAAGTTTTCTCCCAGGGGCCCGGGAACGATTTTCAAGTTGGGGGGGGGGGGGGCGAGCCTAAAATACCTGACATGATGCATCTGAAGCAGTGGCGTAGCTAGGGGTCTAAGGGGACACGTAACCCCCCCCCCCATCGGGTTCAAAGGGACCCTCGGGTCCGAGAGGCATTGCGGCGCCATTTGACCGCTGAGGGTTAACGATGGCCATTTTTCGACTCGGAAGGGCCCCATTGGGCTCGTTAGAGCACCTCATGGGCCCTAGATAACCACACTAAGATTTCCATAAGGGCCCCACGCTGGCTTCTGAGGGCCTCTTGCAGATTTTAAGGGCCCCTCAGTGGTCTCCAAAGGCCCGTTACTGGCCTCTGAGAGTTCTTACCGACCTATGAGGGCCAGTTCCAGTGGCATTTCCCGCCTGTGATGGTCACACTTATTTTTCTGAGGGCCCCATAACGGCAACTGTGGGGGCCCTCATCGGTGCCTATGAGGGCCCACACCGGTGTCTCTGAGGGTTTCACACCCTCAACTCTGAGTGCCTACACCAGTGCCTATTAAAGCCCTATATCGGCGGCTCTGAGGACCCAACAGTCAACACCTGCATCTAAAGGCCACCCACTGGTGACTTTTGAGGCCCCACACTGGTGAATCTGAGCCCTGGCGGCCCCACCGGCGTCTGACAGTACCATGCTGGTCTCTAAGGACTCCACAACACTTCTTCTGCCGGCCTAAGGGCCCCTTGCCGGTCACTGAGAACCCCCTGCCGGCTTGTAGAGGGTTCGCGTCAGCAGCTCTAAAGACCCCACATCCGTCTGCAACGGCTCCACACCAGCGTCTATGAAGGCCTACAGCAACGCCTATAAGGACCCTCACCGGCGCCTCTGAGAGAATCACACTAGCACCTCTGAGCGCCCACACCGGCACCTGCATGGCGGCCCCCCACACCAGTGCCTCTAAAGGCCCCTTGCCGGCGGCTCCGAGGGCCCTACGCCGGTGATTCTGAGGGTGCTACCGATAACCGAAGGCAACACACAAGCCCTCAGTGTCGCTGAGCTTTCTAATACCGGCCTTCCGAGGGCGCCACGTCGG